ATACCACCCAACAGATAATGGACATCCGTCCAACTCCTCTTGGATATCTACATCCTACCCAACAGGCAATGGACACTTGTCTTATTCTTGGGTTTCTTAAGAATCCCCTCATCAGAATACTACCCAACATGTAATGGACACCTGTCCGATTCCTCTTGGATATCTTCATCCCTTCAATAGTATATAAACTAAAAGGTATTGGACATTTTTCTTGGGTTACTCAATTTTTTTCATAAGAAAGAAAACCCAATAGGTATTGGACATTGGTTCAACTCTTCTTGGATATTACATCCTGACATTAGAATAAAACCCAACAGGTGACGTTTACCTGTCCAATTCTTCTTGGGTTACCTTATGCCCTTCATTAAAATTGTCAAATTTGTCTTGGATATTTTTACTCTTGCATTAGATTTCAAACCCAATAAGTATGACATTTACCTTCCCTAGTTGAATTCAAATTTATCTGCATAAGCATACATAAGTCCAAAACATATTTAATACTTTAATTCTAACATTCCACATCTCATTAAGTGTACACTTTACAAATGATAGCAAATATATAAGCATTTTGTGCCTAAAGTATTTGGCATTTGAAGAATTTTATAACCATGTGTGCAAAATTTAAATTTAAATATTGGAACTTGGAGCAAGTCATTACAGGTAGAGCAAGATGCTGAAAATCATATTGATAAATAGATCACACCCTTGATAAAATATTTGCCTTCAGTTGCTAAGATTTTGTTGAATTATATGGAAAATTTCCATAATCCTATTTATTACAGACACATGTACAATGCATATTTTCCCTACAATAATAAAAATACTTCTGAGATGTAAAAGAATGGATTAAATAGTCACCGATGTTAAAAGATATTTCATGATCTCATTAATCGGGTTTGGAAATCACAAACTTAGTTTTGAAGCCGATAAAACAGTGCCGCACCAGAAAACACAGTTACAAGTCAAGTACAATGAATGAATTCATTGTATCAAAACTTTAAAATAATTGATGCACTATGTCCAAATCTTTTCGACAAATCAAGATAAAGATATTAAATCAAATCAACACTGTTACAAGTCTTAGACTTAGAGCTAGAGAAAAGTCATTACATGCCCAAATTTTACATGTAAGACTTTGATCCTACATTTCAATAAATGTCAAAATGGTTTTATTTTTGTTTCTGTTCAATACTTTCTTCTTCAGGGTCTCTCTTGGCCTATACTGTATGATACCTCCATTGACCCTGCTCTTTTATATTGCCATATGTTTATCCAGTAGCAGTGGTTAGTCTCAGGCAATCTTTGAAATATTCCTCATTTCATGCATCTCCTTCAGTTCTGCCTCTGTCCATTTTATTCATTCTGCAATTAGATAAAGGCATTTCTTTGCCGTATAAAACATGTTTTTTTTACTACAGCAAGATCACCTTTTCTGTTGATCAAACCCAAAGAAGAAGTAGAACTATATTTCTTATTCAGAAATATGTATTGATAAATAAAATTTTTTCATCTATGTCTAACTGCATCTTCATCCTACCCCCTATGTCATAATTAATTCAAAATGGAATCGTCATTCAACACACAAAACGATGTTGCATATTAATTAGACAGTATTTTAGTTTCTGATTGTAAAGAAGGAGATTTTAAAAAAAGATTTTACACCTATTCCTTGCAAATTTTTGACTTCTAATGTAACACTATCAGTACATTAGGGGTACATAATCTTCAAAAACATCTCTACACTTAATGATAAAGCTTTCACATTAGTATTGTTTTTAGCCCAATGGTTCTGCTAAGGAGGATTTAAATTTGACCAAAACCTTACTAACTGCTTTGAAATTATATTGACAGGGACAGAGACACACTTGACACTCCATCCCCCCTTCTTGGGGTATGCTTTGCACAAAATTTGATCAAAATTGACTAAGCTGGATAGAAGTTGAAAATATGAAAAATTACAGTCAAACAGATTATGAATAACTTTCAGCACATCAGACATGAAGTAGTGATCCTTAAAAAAATACCTCTACAAGATGAAGCTGTTTTTTTCCTTTAAAGTGATATCTAGTATTGTTTCTTTTCCTGTATGCCACCTCTATCAGAACAAAATGTTATATATGTATTAACATAACCTTTGACCGTATAGTTTCCCAGTATTTAATTTAGAATTAATATGGTTCTGGAAACCAACCCTCAGATGCCCTTAAAACAAATGATTCTAAACTGGCAATGGTAAAGGACATCCGAAGAATTTAAAAGAAAATGATAGTACAAACAAGCAAACAGCTAGTGTGCATGAAAAGGTTGGCAAACACTAGAAAAAATACTAAGGTACTTTCTCAAACTTAACATGAATACTTGAAGAGGTTTTATGTAGCTGTATTGCACATACCAAATGCTTTCTTGCAGTTAAAAGTTAGTTGCCTAGTAGTTATGTAGTATGTACAAGTTTTTCATTCTATCTCATCTAAATTAAGAAGCAAAAATGTCTCTAAAAATGTTATGGTTGGCATGAAGTATTCCTGTTCATTTTGGTGATTACTTACAATTGTCCTATTTCTGAGTGTCATCTTCTGATGGGTGTGTTCTCTGCAATGTTCACTTTTGAAGTTCCTGTTTGACCTGTTATATATTGAAAATCAATGAACATAATTATGGTTTTAATTTCCATTGTTTAGCTTTTTGTGCTATCAAATTAAAGCCATCGCTGTGCAATAAAGGAAATCAAGTACTAATCCACAGCTTGGTGGCAATAAAGTTACAATCCCCGAGTAAAAAGTGACAAGCCCAAATACAGAGGCAAAATTTAAAAAGGAACATTGAAAAAAGTTCATCGTGAAAAAAAGTCAGGGTATTAACTACAGATGATTCTTTTAAAAACAAAGTTAAATTTAATTTTTTCTAGTTAATTTTAATCATATATAAATTAATGATTTAAAAAAAAATATGAAAAAAAGATTTTGAATATTCCTTTTCTGGTCATTCACTAGTTCGTCTAATTAAAACGAAGCAAAAATAATTTTGTTTTCATCTTGAATCATTTAAAGCCATATATGGCATATGAACAATGATAATTACGAGACTAAAATTATAAGAACTTATTATGTGTATCATTACTTTATATAAACATGATAAAGAAAGAAATTTTCCATAAATTACAAAATCTAAATCAATTGCGTTGTAAAGATATCAAAATTTAATTTGGATTCTCAGAATTTTCTCCGACTTGGAAGAAAATACAAAAGCTTTAAAAAACACATTACAGAGAAGATAAACTCGTATTATTAGATAAAACGAGGTGTTCTCCGCGCTCCGAATTGTATGATAAGCTTTAATTTAAATGTATTAACTATATTTCTTTACTTAATTTTGTATTTTTCAAAAATATATTTTTGATCAGTTACGCCATATATGGCTTTAAAAAAATGCTACATAATTGCATGACACTTATCATTGAGCTGATTGAGTGGATGTATACAATTTAATGATGAGATATCTGCGAGGCATATATGTACAAGCAAATATTGCTATATTAAACAAAGGAAAGGGGGAATTCAAATTAGGAAATAAAAGATCGTTTTAAAGTCAATAAGTCTTGTAGTACTGCAAAATGGATGCAGTTGTAAAGATTTATGCATAATATTAGCATGATGTCTGAAATATTTCCATATTAGGGAATTTAATAGCAAAATACGGGTGGTGATTTTCATGTATTACATGTGTATTTTAAAATTCCTAATAGCCCAAGGGGATTCCTCAGTGCAAAAAAAAATCACTAGCCCCATCCTCAAAAATGGAAGCCCCGGGTGTAGCGCGATGCTACATGAAATTACACACCCATCATGTGAAATAGGTATAGTAGCCCTATATCAATTTCAGTATTGTTTAAAATTAATTAAAACAAATGCCAAAAACAATAACTAAAAAATATCAAACTAAAGCAGACACTCAGTCAAAATCAAAGACAAAAAGAAGCACTGTTTTGACTGAAAGTTTTTCAGTAATACAATGAATCTCTTAAGTTACATATCAGATGAGATAAACTTACTTACAATTATTTAGTTGTTGTCAATTATCCCATTTATCATCATCTCAGCTCAATTTGCGATTGTAATACTGTGTACATGAACCGATAATTTACAGCTGATTTTTGAACACACGATTGTTAAAATTTTCATTTCCCTTTTCAATATACATTGACAGAACATACTTAGCTGGTAATTCCGATATATCTATTTTAACTTTATGCACAATTGTTTTCAAAATTACATTAAAATCTATTTTCCTTAAACAAGAACCCAGCAATGGATAAATATTAATCGAATAAACTTACCTTTTCTCTTGTCAATCAGAAAATCTTGTTGACATTAAGTGTTTCTTAGGATTCGTTTCTTAGTCGCCATATTTTTTCCCATGAAAACAAACGTTGTTATGATCAGGATCAACGGAAGTTGATTTTCGGAACTCTCGAGAATTTAGAGTTCCGAATGTAAAACTGAAACAACAAAACACGGTGCGTCCGTGAAGGCAACTTTTTTAGACACTTTTTTGGACAAATCGTCGTGTCCAAGTTTTGTTGGGTACTAACCTGCAAATACCCAATTAGGGTGTTTTAAGCATATTCAGCGAAACTTCTTATTGGGTATACCCAATAAGCAAAAAGTACCCAATAAGTACAATCTTGGCATGAAAAATACCCAATAAATGCACTCTCGTAAACACGGACGGACGGACGCCGGACAAAATGTGATCAGAAAAGCTCACTTGAGCCTTCGGCTCAGGTGAGCTAAAAAAGATCACACATGTAATGATGATGATGATAAAAGAAATGTGTGAAAAGGAATAAAAACTAGCTCTTGTTTAGATATACGTATCACAATTATTAAATATGACATAATTAAATCACTGCATACGTGCACATACAAACATATATACTTGAAGTTGGTAAATGAATTTGATGAGTTTTAATCTCAGTGATTTGTTTTGTTTTGTCACCTTACCTCCTTTCGTTTCTTTTTCCTTTCTTTCCCTTTTGTCGATTTCCGCTAAAAACGTAAACAAACATTACATATGGATTTATCAATCTAATTAAAATCCATTAAAGTAAAACACGGTCCTACTATTAATAATGATCTCACCCCCATAGTTATTATGAAGTTCAGTCGTTAGAACCCTATAAGTCTTCTTGATTCTAGTCACCCCAGCAGTTTTCTCTCTGTTTCCCGCGATTTCAATGCGGTAAAGTTAAAAACCATGAACGTACACTACAATTAATTCCGGAAAAAAACATTTTTTTTTTTCAGGAAAAAAGGGGGGCGGGGCGGGGGTTGGGTTTAACTTTAGTGATTTATATGGCTTGAATTTTCTGCAATCGATGGAGGGGGTTATAGGGTTGCAGCCTTTGGTAGTAATTTATTAAACATCTCAAAAAGTGCATACATGTGCACATGATGTGGCCACTCGTCTCCCAAGTTTTCCCCCCTGCACAGACATGTACACTGTAGGTTAAAAAAAACGGCATAAAATTCTCTAGATTAAAAAAATCGTATCGCTCTTATATCTATTGGGGTCAATGAATCATTCTTATAAATTTCATATTTATTAATATAAAATTCGCATTCTGTTAAAGTTATATGCAAGAGATGGAGATTTGTAAAAAAAAAAAAATGATAACGTAATAACGCGTCTTTCATTATAGAAAATAATTAAGATGATGAAACAAATCAAAATGAAGGTTCAATGATGATGATGATTCTTTTTTATGAATAAACTTCATCGGCGTCGGAACGGGGGAGGGGCTGGGGGCTAAGGGAGGGGGGCTGTGTTTTTCTTCTAAATTGATATAAAAAGAAAGTAAAAAAAAACAACTTCAATTTAACTTAAAAAAAAAATTAATGATAACTCCGGACTCCGGATTTTTTCATAAAGTAAAACACACTGTCATATCTAGAGGGGAGAGGGGGGTAGTATTTTTCCGCAAACTTTAACCTACGCCATATCTTTTGAACCATGAGAGGTAGGGACTTCATATTAAGCATGCATACTCCATTATTTAAGTTCTTTCAAATGTCAAGGTCAAGGACCTTGTGACCTTGACTGTAACCTATAATAGCTTTTCCGTACCTTCGCCATAACTTTGAACCATGAGAGGTACATGCAAGGACTTCATATTTGGTATGCATACTCCGCTAATCAATTTATTTCAAATGACACCAGGTAAGGTCAATGACCTTGTGATCTTGACTTTGACCTATATGTTTAACAGGCACGTAGCATCGATTTTGAAAGTGGGGGGGGGGGGGGGGGAGGCAAAGAATTTTTTTTTCTTACCTGAAAAAATTTGACAAGCTTAGAAAAAAAAACCCACTACCTAAAAATTCTTTTTACGCAAACTTGAAAACCCTATTTCGTGGGGAGGGGGGATTTTTTTAACTACCAATTCCTTTCAATATCCCATTTTTTAACCTTACACTACTGTTTTCCTTTCATATTAATTTACTTAAGTGTCAAGTGGGGAGGGGGGGGGCAATCAGCCGTTCAATATATTTTTCCAATAGTAAAAGTAGTGTTGGCAAAAAAGTAGGTGGGCCAGCCCCCCCCCCCCCCCCCCCCCCGTTGCTACGTGCTTGCTTCAAATAGCTTTTTTTGAAATTTGCTACCGCCGGGCGCATAATTTCACAAACACATCTTATCGTCTTCAGTTGTGTGCATAGATCCTCTTGATTTTGACATGATGCTTACATCAAAATGTGCACGACAGAATCATGTCGGAATTATTTAAAACTAACCCTTTATAAAAATTCCTACTCTTAGATACTACAAGTGATTTTTTATTACCTGTGTTTAGGATATGACCCCCCTTCCCGGTTCACAAGGCCTGACCTGATCTCCCTGAAGCGGGCCTCTGTATTATAAGTACAGTCATGTATATTTGTTTGTAGCTGCAGAACTGTAGCTCTCCGAAAAAAATCATATTGATCAACCGGTCAGTATATTTTTCGGAGAGCTACAGTTCTGCAGCTAATTTGTTTGAGTATTATATCCCGGGAGTTACTGAATTTCCTGATAAGTACATGTATATCTGTTTGAATATTATGTAAAACAATGTACCTTTTAAGATAAATAATTTTTTTTTTGTTTATTTAAATATATGTATTTGTAACATAAATGTAACATAATGTTTTTTTTTTGTTTTTTTTACACATTTTAAACAATTAATAAGAGGTCAGACATACAATTTTGAGCCTTATATAAAGCATTGAATATACAATGACATACCTTATACATGTAAGTTAAGACACCAAGATAATCATGGTTTAATAGCATGTTGCTGATTCTAATCATATGAATGACATTGTTTATTTATATTTAATAAAACACAAAACAGAGGACAATAAAATAAAAAAAATTTAAAAAAATAAAAAGTTGGATGAAAATTTAAACAAATAAAGCCTATTTTTGATGATGGTAAAAGTATGATAAGAATTTAAAAGGAGAAAAATATTTCAACTAAAAATGTAAAACAAATTGTTTTAAAAATCCCAGCTTTAGACATGTTACATGAAGACAATGAACAAAAATCTTTATAGTTACTTGGTAGTGGTTTTGTGGGCAATTTGTTTAAGAAAGTACACAAATACATATTTTCACCAGTGAAGTATTTATCTTATATTATCTTTCACACATACAACATATACACTGACTTAAAATCAGCATTATAACAAACATGCCTTGATTTTTTAGAAATAAATATTCTGTGGCCTATGTAAATATTACACTGTTATATAACGTCACTTGCAGTACTTCACCATCTTCACTGTATGTGATTTTCATTACTTGTCTATTACTCCTTTGAGCTACAGATTATCATTGTATCTGTACACAATCCCCAGGGTTCACTCAGTCATTGTAGATATTTAATTTTCTTCACTTGTCTGTTTACATAATGAACAACAAACAGATTGTCATTTGTATCTATACACAGTCCCCAGGGATAACTCCACTGTCCACATTGTATGTAACGGAGGAACTGTCCATCCTGGTCTATGATGTGGACACACTCATTGTTACCATCAGCTGTAAGGATGTGACTCTGACTGTCTGTGGTGATTCCTCGTGGATTGAATGATTGGTTCTTTGGAGCAGGAGTATGTCCAGTGTACCTGAATTTGATCAACAATATGTAGAATTTTTTAAAGTTTATTCATATTTTTTTTTTAAAGAATTTGGTAGAATTTAAAAAGAAATATAATTTTGTATACTGTATATCATGTATAATATATACTAAGAAAATAATTGTACTTTATGATGGACAATTTTATATAATTCTGTATAAGGAGGAGACTATCTGAGTTGTAGAACATTTGTCTTATCCTTTTGACTTTGTCAGTAAAATATGTTCAATTCAAAGTGTACCTGAATCTCAGTTTCCCGGCCTGATTGACCACCACTACTGCTCCATAGTCAGACACACAGATATCCAGATTCCTGTTCTCAGTTATGTAGTATTTGTTAAAATAACCAGATGAATAGAGAGGTTTACCTTTATCATCAAACTGAATGGTTTGTTTCTCTGTGGAGCCAGAGTAATGGACAACTTTTGTTTGAATGTTATCACTGCTGTACATGATAACCAGGAGGTCACCAGAGGAGGTACTACAGACACCGCTAGGTTCCCAGTTCTGTAGTCTGATCACCTCCTCTATCTTCTCATTCTTCACAATGTTCACAGTTCTATCATTGTAATCTGTATAAACTAGATCTCCACTTTTTGTCACTGCTATGTCAGTTGGATCGTTCCCTGACTTGGTTGTGATTGACTTGAGTTGTGATCCCTGATTGATGCTGTAGAGTTTCATGGTGCCGTCTTGTCCACTTGTCCAGATTTCTTCATCACTCAGACAGGCCACATTGTAAAGTCTATCATACCCAGTGTCTATGGTGGTGACAGTCTCTGGTTCATCAAGCAGCTGTTTGACTGGGGGAGAGGATCCAGCTTCTGGTGATTTCTGTCTTGTCTTCAAGCTGTAGCCATGTTTATCTGATTTTAACGGAATTGTTTTCCCTATTTTCAAACTAAACAGTTGGTCTGCCTGTAATTTCTTTGGGGTGAATGTAGGAATGGAAACTGTAATTTTTCTTGGAAGGTTTGTATACCTATCTAGGGTGGAAGGCAGACTGAATAGGCTTGAAATGTCTGTAGATTCTAGAACACTATCAACTGAATTGATTTCATCCTTGATGTCAGATATTGTCTTGTTTATTTCATCCAGATGTTTCTGTAGAGTTTGTAACTGTGTGTTTTTCATTTCATCAACTTCAGCTTTAAGTTTCTGGACAAGTTTATCAATTTCTCTGTGCCAGTCCTCTCCATGTTTTGTTATAGCTGTTGAGAGATCTCCATATTCCTTTTCTAACTGACTCATTCTGATTTGTACATCAGAGGCAATGTCTTGGTAGTTTGGATAAATCTTTTCTTTCAGTTCAGTTTGTTTTTTGACGAGTTCATCCCTTTTCTTGTCTCGAATTTCCAGGACCCTTGCTAGTTTATGTCCGAGATGTTGATCCGAGGCAAGACAAATAGTACAGATAGGAACATCACACTGGGTACAGAACATCTCACACATTTCTTCATCATGAGAGGTGCATCTGGGGTGAATAAGAGTAGACTTTTTGTCCTTAAAGTGAACAATTTTATGAGGTTTTGAGAGATCAGCAGAAAAGTGTTCTCCCACACAGGCCTTACACAGGTTGACAAGACATGTATCACAGTGCATCTGTACCACAGCGGTCTCACACAGGTCACATCGCATCACGTCCTGGGCACTGGTACGGGGGTCCATGACTCAATCTTCAAAGAAAAATGTCAAGTTTTCAATTTACTGTTAATAGCCATCCATGTTCATATTTTGAATGTCTTAGATAACATGGATAAATAAATTCTGCACACAACCATATCATTCTTGAAGGAAAATCTTGTACATGTAGTTTTGAGGCCTAATTATATACCATGTATATAGCACAAGCGGATTTAGGGCAGGGGGTGGGGGTTAGGGGGCTGTGCCCCCTCCCCCTTTTGTGTCCAAAATATACATACTATGTAATAAATCTAGTAAACCACTGCATAGTTGACTTCACTGATGGCCACTTGCATGTATGCATGCATGTTTGTATTTTATTATTTGTCTTTATGTATGTTACATGGTTGTATGCCAATATGTTTGGTGAATCAATGAATAAAGAAATTATAATAATTTATTTTTTTTTTGCCGCTGTGAGCCCCTATCCCGAGTATTCCCAACCCTAAAACTGCTATTTCAAGTATAATTTATAAAATAATAAATCTTTAAAACAACAACAAAACCGATTTATTAATCCTTGACAAAAACTGAAAAAGCACCCCCCCCCCCCCCAACACACACAAACAACATCCACCTGGTTTATGCTGTGAGCTGCGGTGAAAATAAGATAAAATGGCAATATGACTCACTTACATTAATTATACAGAATACACTAGTATACAGATATGGAATTCAAATTCGTTCTACTTCTAAACCAAAGACAAACCTTGATGTGCAGTAATGGCGGCCGCTGACGCTGCGCTGGTCTCTGCATTTGTACGGAAACATATTGGTGCCATTTTGACACTATTTAACTATCTCTACCCAGAGTATGTAGCGAAGCGGACGATTACTCTGGATAGAGATCGACTTTTTTAAGGAATATCCGATCCTCAGCCAGGTAGGATAGCTCCAAAAACTACCCATGATATTGAATTTGAAATGCATCAAAATGAAGCTTGAAAAATAAAAATAATAAATTTCATTCAACAGTTTTCATTTTGTTCATCTTTAGGCCCTATAAGATTTAATGTTTTGCGACGTCTTGGAAAAGACGATTAAGTCTCATAAAAGTTGACATTTTTACTCTATTAGAGGGGAAAAAAATAATGCAGTTTTTAGAGAAATAAGATTTTCTTGAATCCAGCCATGTTTATTAGCATAATATGAAATAATATGTGATTTGTGGTGTTTTGCAATGATAGCAAAAGCCTTATACACTATGTTTTATAGAAAACATGATGGAAACAGCCATTAGAAAATGCAATGCTGATATTTCAATTTGCTTTTTCCGCAAAAAAAATTGAGGATTGTATTAAAAAGTTCCTCAAAGTTAGAGAAATATTCTCCTTTCTCCAAACAAACAAAATACGATATTTAGTTATTCTGTTCTTTCATAGACTGATCCAAATACTGCTAATATATAGCATTGGGGCTTCCGTACACCATAGACCTAGATATTATGTTAATTACTTAATTTAGATAATTTTAGTTTAGATTATATTAATTTGGACTATGATATGATGTTAATTTTGAATCACAACTTTACAATTTAATTCAGTGGGGGGGGGGGGGGGGGGCACAGCCAAACATTTTTAGTTGGGGGAGGGGGCACTATCAACTACCAAAATTCATTGACAAACAAAATAGTTCATCAAATGTTTTTATAGCTGCAGAACTGTATAATTATATATTGAGAGACCGGAGAGCTACAGTTCCACCCTTAGAAAAACTGTATATATTTATTAATTTCTCACAAAAAGTTGTGCTTAATTCTGGATTAATTGTTCCAAATTCTTACCTCAAAAAAAAAAATCTAAATTTAAAATATCCTTACCCTGTTATAAGGTTTTCTTGTTGTTGACATTTGCACGAAGCTCATTCGACCGAATTATCTTGAAAACTAACATGACAGAATACTAGTAAATAGAAGAAATTTTCGATGATCCCAATTTTAGTTACGAAGCGCTATTAACAACAATGATAAAGAATGTTTTATTGTGGAAACAACCAAAGAATACGTTAGAAACACATGCTTAGTACTATTCTGAGGAACTGTTTTAAAATCATGGAGAAATAAATCGAGAAACGGCGCACTTTTTAGTGCACAATAAAAACAATTTGTCAGTTTTTTCGATGGTTAAGCACTGCATGTACATAGCTCTCCGGTCCGTCAATTACCAACTATATTATTCGGAGAGCTACTACGTTTTTATTGAGGGGACACAAACATGCAATAGCTAAATTTTCTATAGTATTCTATATATCGGCTTAATAAGTAGCTCACAGGATTATATTAGTTTGCTCATCAGAATTCCACTAGAAATTATATTTCTATAAAGGAAAAATGTATATAGTACCAATAAAAAAATTCTAATACCATGGTACTTGAAACATTAGAGTTTTTTTTAAAGGGTCTATATTCAATTTTGTAAGGTTTAAAAATTGAATTGGATTTTTTTTTTGTCAAATATTACAAAACAATTTGAAAAGTATGAGCCAAAGAAAATAGAATTGAATGTTTCTTTCAGTTATGTAATTCGATAGAATTTATATTACAGAGTAAACTATAAGTAAAAATAGGGTTACTTACATGGAAAGTCATCTCTGTTATTAGAGAGTAAGTTCCCTTTAAGTCTGAGAGAGAGAGAGAGAAAGAGAGAGAGAGAGAGGTCCTCCTTGAAGTGGCATTAAAGATCAAGTTATTAACATAGGACACGTGTCTTTATCTTCATATCTATTACTCGTCGTAGATGTACATTGTAACAGAATATGTGTAAATAATTCAGCTGTCTCAATGCATGCAGACGAAAGACAAATGCTTTCTATACATATTAAAAGGTGTGCTACTTCTCAGTATATATAAATCTTCAAAGTTACTCAAGTTTGGAATGCATGCAGATTTCGTATTTTGAGGAGTTTCCAAAAATCTTCAAGTCCTCTGGTAAAATTATTTCTAGAAAGGAAAGAAACGATGCCACTGAAATTACACAGGATGTTCCTGGAAATGATACGAGGCTACAAGCTAGTACCTACAGTGGGTATAAAAATTCCCCCACAGTCAAGAGTGTCACTGGTGTTGCACCAAATGGTGCACTTGTATTTGCGAGTAAATTGTATCCAGGAAGTACTTCAGATGTGGCAATTGTTGAGCATTGTGGACTTCTGAATCAGCTGTCTTCTGGTGATATGATTCTTGCTGATAAAGGGTTCACAATACATAAACTCTTGCCACAAGGTGTTCATCTTAATATACCACCCTTTTTGACAGCAAAGTCCCAGTACACCCCTGTCGAAGTCCAGCTCAACAGAAAAATTGCAATATCTAGTGCTAATGATAGATTAAAAAAATATGAAATACTGAGACACATCCCACACCAGCTCCGATATATTTATAGTACAAAAGTATTCCAATTATGTTGTGTGTTGGTAAATTTTCAAGAACCATTGTTGTAAGAAATTGCTCAAAATTTTGTACCAGAAAATAACTGAAAGAGTTTGAAAGCTGTTATTTATTCAAGATTAAAATATTTGATTAACTTGCAGACACTGAAGCTCATTACTACTCTTCAAACATGGCTTGCTTGCTCTATATGACTTACATATACATGATTCAATAGATCTACAGTTACTGCTATAAGTGTGGTATGAATCTATGGAAATAAAAGTCTGTAAGAACGGAAATGCTTGTCTGCCAAACAGGGTCCTGGGTAATCCTTACAATAGCACAATCTTGCTGTGTCCAAACCATAATATCACAGGCTGTTTCCCAGTTATTAGCTCACCTGAGCCGAAGGCTCGAGCGAGCTTTTCTGATAATAAAGTGCCGCGCCACAGCATGATACGCCCGTCAAAAAATAAATTTTTTTGAACAGTTTAGGTGCAAGAAAATCACATCAACCTTGATTCTCAGATTTCGATGATTTTTCCATTCCTTCAAATATTTATCCATCCCCTGTGATGTAGGCATCAATTATAATAAATATTACATCACTGATAGATTTCTGTGCTGGTTGTGTTAGACCTTGTCAAATGCCGATCATCAAATTAGTCTTAACAACTTAATCTATACCAAATTGATTTTGAAAAGAAAAGGCTGGCCATCAAATGACATATGTTATAATAAACTGACCAGCAGTTCTTCTGTCTAATCCCCAAAGGGTAAAGATAAGACTGAGACAGCTAGCCTTCCTACGTTGAACTCATTAATTTATCTTTAACTGGATGCTTGTCTTCTCATTACTACCAAGAGATGATGGGTCTGCACTATTTCTTTTTAAAAACATATAAAATACTCAAAGATTTTTTTTTTGGTTGAAATTTAATGTCCGACGTGTTTTAATATGTAATTCATATGGACATGCTGATCCCATCCCATACCATAAAATAAGTTTTTAAATTAAAAATATTACATAGTATCAGATTAGTCTATTATGCAATATCAAATTAGTTTTAATTACTTTTCATCAAATTCATTTTAAAACTTAAGCTAGTCAACAAGAGCTATTTTCAATCAAACAGGCTTACCCATTTGCCCAATACTCAAGGGATATAGATAACACCAATGCTCTGTCAGTTAGCTCCTCGCACTCAAATCCCATTGATTTCTCTCTAATTTGACATGCAATTTTCTATTATCAAAATTCTTCTTGACCAGTGCTTGATAATTACACTCATGGGAGAGGCAGGATTTCTCTGACTTACATTATATTTGTTATAGATTGCTGTCAAGTATATACTTAAAAAAATAAGTATTTTCTTGATTTAAGACTTTTTTAATAAGAACAGTGCAATACTCTTACATTATTTAAGATGTGTAAATGAATAGTAAAAAGAAACATTTAAAAAAAAATTCACTTAAAGGTCACAGTGACCTTGAAATAGGTCGCGACACATCTTCTATTTAAGATGCATAAACTGGCCAAGTTTGATGATTGTAGGTCTTATAGTTTTCTAGTTATGGACCGGAAAGGATTTTTCCATATTTGGCTATAACTTTTTAATTAAAGGTCAGAGCGACCTACTTTTTGTGCGCGACACACCTTCTACCCAAGATGCATCAGATGACAAAGTTTGATAATCCTAGGCCTAGTAGTATTAAAGTTATGAGCCGGAAACGAAAGAGCATCCTCAGGTGGTGTAGATTCAAGCTTCTTCAAATCATGACCCCGGGGGTACGGTGGGGCCACAATGCACTGGGCCAGGAAAGATGAAACTCATGTGGACGCATCCTCAGGTATTGTAAATTCAAGTTTGTTCAAATCATAACCCCCGGGGGTAGGGTGGGTCTACAATAGCTGATCAAAGTTTAGCATAAGAATATATAGGAAAAATTTTTTTAAATTCTTCTTCTCAAGAACCACTGGGCCAGTGTCGGTTGCTTCAGATATTGTTTTCTCCTTGGCTGTATATGGGCACTTGACCTCTAGTATTGTAGGCCGAATATTTCATGCTTGCATTATGTGAGTCAGAGCTGGAGACTGGTGATGAAATCCAAATGCAGCTGGTGGAGGCACAATCCCATCAGGGGTACACCCAACTACACCATTACTGTGGAGCCATATACCTATTGAAAATGAAAATAATATATAATAATTTGATAGCAAACATTACAGATAAGACTTTTTTAGAGTAGGGGAAAATAGTTTCCTCCTTTTTACCTGTTGGTTCTGCTACTGCGTCTCCATAGGACCGGTGCTTATCTATTGCATCTCCCTCATTGCAAACACCCAGAATTATGGCATCTTTTTTGAAAAGGTTGTAGGCTTGGCAGAGGTGCTTGAACAATGAAACTGGATATCTGTAAAATAGTGCAGGAGAAAAAGATTTCAGTTACTTTTCAATTTAAGGACAAGCAAAATTTCATTAAACTGAAGATTGACAAAATGTGTATTTTGTAAAACCTATTTCTTCCTACTGCTTCCAGAACACATCCCAGGTTAGAAGCTGTTAAACGATTTTTACGAATGGCAGACCAGAGACATTTGTCTTTTTGCCCAACATTCAAAGCAGCAATCTGTCAGTATAAAAATACTAAATTAATAAGCATTTCAACTAGCTGAGACAACATTTCATACTAAGTACTTGGAAAACACACTTTAAAATTTAGTACTGCTTTGGAATTTGTAATACCTGTTGAATTTCTTGATCATTTACAATAAGTCTCTGACACAACCATGTCATGGGATGCTCTGCAGCCAGGAATTCTTGATTAGCCAATAAGTCGTCAATGACTGGAATGCATACCTGAGGTACAGGTGGCTCTGGTGCCAAAATCCAATGCATGGCTATGAAAATATAAATTTTATTCATAAGGTACCTTGCAATATGTGAAGAATGAAGTATTGTCACAGTGATGTCACAGAAAATAAGTTGACATGTCAAACATAAAAGGTGTCTATTCCCCAATTTGAATATAAGACTTGGCTGAAACTTTTTGGTACCTTTGTTGAAATTTAAACAATAAAATGTCTTTCTTTGGTTGTTAGTACGGGAATAAATGTCGCAGTTGTTGCAGAAAAAAATTGCATTACCCGCGTAAGGGGGTTATGTAATTTTTTTCAGCAATAGCTGCGACGTCCATTCTCGTACTAACAACCAAAGAAAGACATTTTATTGTTTATATCTATATCTGTTTAAACTATCACTTTACGTAGGATTAACAAGATTAATTATTGTATTAATGATGTGAATGTCTTTGTATGTTACATTGATGGAACAGCCACTGATCAAGAAATCTGTACAGATGACATGCATAGTGTAGTTCATGCACTGATTAACGCAATGGGTTTTCTTAAGAAATAAAGTAAAAAATATTCAGTTGATGTATATATATTAAAATATTTAGGACAATTGATCACAAAGAAAAAAACATTATAGACTATTGTGGTTTATTCTAGCAATGAAAGTTATATTGGAATGTAAAATAGTGAAAATCTATTATTATCTATTATCTATCTATTATTATCTATTTATATCTAATATTAAAACAATTAAATTCTACTATGAATATTGCAAAAATCAAAGAGATGTCGTTTTTAATATTCTCCAATACATCACAAATGTCATCAACAAATAATTAAGGACATATGCAAGGTACCTTACCTACTGATAATTTTTCAAGATATTCTAAATTTTAAGTTATAATACCATTACATGTTCTTAGACAAAAAATCAGCATGTGTTACCAGGGGTTTTGAAAAGATATCAAATTATGAAAATTTTTGCATTATTCAAAGAAAAATGTACAAAAATTACAAAACATAAACTCCAGATTTTTTTTCATCGAAAATTGTTTTAGGAGAGGTGTACAAATCCATATATAGATATTAAAAGTATTGCACACAGGTCCTTCATTTAGTGGAACTCTTCAACTCCAGGGAAGAACCCAATAACGTTCGAACTAAGTTGCGTATGACCTTAATAATTTCAATCTGTTTTCTCTTATTTTGCCTGTCTTCACCAGGAAGAAGAAAAATGTATCTTTTTGTGATGGAAATTGGTGAGAAAAATAAACACATGCTGTCATTAAACCCAGAAGTCTGAGAAACTTGTGTGCTTGCACCCATGTTGATCTCTGGAATTGTGCAATTTCTTGTAAGAGATTCTGAAATCTTTCTTCTGACGGGTACACTGCTCCCATTGTCAAACTGAAGTGAGCCCCCAAATAGTCCAATTCCTGAGTTGGTATCAGTTGAGACTTTTGCCAGTTTACTAACAGGCCTAAGTTGCTGAGCAAGTTCAGTAGTATCTCCCTGTGATGCATGAGCAGTTGACGTTGTTGGCTCTTGATTAACCAATCGTCCAGGTACATGTATATGTGAATCTGTCGAGATCTCAAATACTGTCCTATTACAGCCATCAGCTTTGTGAAAACTCTGGGAGCTATTGCTAGTCCAAATGGCATTACTTTGAACTGGTAATGCTTTCTTTGAAAACAGAACCGAAGGAACTGTCTGTGATGTGGCTAGATTGGAACATGAAAGTATGCATCCTTCAGGTCTATTGAAATTGTCCAGTCTCCTTTTCTTACAGCTTGTCGAATTGATCGGAAAGTTTCCATTTTGAAATGAGGAACATGCAAGTGAACATTTAGATTTCTTAAATTCAAAATTGGACGAAGACCTCCGTCCTTCTTTGGAACTAAAAAGAATGTGCTGTAGTAACCCATGCCTTCTTGGCTCTTGGGCACAGACTCTATTGCTCTTTTTTCTAATAAATCCTTTATTTCTTCTGATATACATATATTTTTCTGTAACAAACTGAATAGTTTCTCTTACGCCGCTTCCTGCCGGCCTGGAAGCAAACTGAAGATGCAGTCCTTCCTGGACTATATTTAGAACCCACTGGTCGGAAGTTATCTGCTTCCATTTCTCTAAGCATTCCGTCAGTCCTCCTCCGACAGATGGAATGTTTGTTTTCTGATGATCTACTGTTTTCTTGGGTGAAACCCCAGCTTTTGATTGGATGGTTTCTTAAAACTTTGTCTAGACTGCTGAGAGTTCTGTCTGTTTTGAAAGGACGAGTTGTCCTTTGTTTTGTTCTGCCTATCGGAGCTGTCATATCTCCCTTTCTTTGGCGTTGATTATCCTGACTTATCAGAGGTCTTTGTCGATCTAGAGTCATCAGGCTTCCTCTTCAAGTCCTTATGCTTTAAATCTCTGAGATGTTGAGTTTCCTTGGCATCCCTAAGATTTTCTGCACTGCTATGCAACACTTCAAAAAACTTTCCCCCAAACAGTTTTGGGCCAATTGCAGACTGACACAGTAATTTATTCTCAGTTGCTTTATTCTTGAAAGCCATGTCTTTAAGATAAAGACCTCTTCTCATAGTAACAGAGTTTAACATCACTCTGGCAGTCACATCTGCCATTGACTGGAATAGCTGTGATAGAGCCTGAACAGCCTCTTGCCTGTCTTCATCAGACACTGCTTTGTCCAAGTATGTAGTAATCAATGAGCCATAAGACATCTGTCTAAGCAAGAGTCTAGAACTCATATCTAATCTTCTTATCTCATTGTTTGTAGACTCAAATGTCTTGTTGTTAAACTTGTAAGGCATAGCACTCTTTTGGCTTCTTGACTCAGCAGAACTCATGATGCCTTCTTCAATGTTCTCATCTAACTGTGGGGAAGTAAAAAACTTTTTAAAGTGATCCTCCTCCACAACATATTTTTGGTCGTCATGTGACCGAAAACATCTAATCTTTCCCTTGTCCTGCCATTCCTTATCAACCTCTTCTAATATGTGTACAATTGAGCCTTCCAAAGGCAGACCACCTTGTTTAGCCTCCCTAGGCATTAACAGATGCTCGGCAACATAAGACTTGTACTCTGTCTCTCCTGCTTTTTCCTTTATAGGAATGTTTAAATCTGTTGCCACTCGAGATACAAAGCATTTCCAGTCAACTTTCGAGGTACATGGAGCAGAATAAGTTGATTGACCAGTCTCGGAGCGATTTTCTACATCATCAAACTCATTTGATGACTCTGTAATGCGAACAACATCTCTTTCATTCTCAGACTCTTCGGAAGAATCCGAAACTCTATCTGACAATCGTTGGAACTTGTCGAATCTCTTGTGCTTAGTGTCAGGTTAGCTTCTGGACTTAGGTACCTCAGAAGGCACTTGTTTTGACAATAATTCAGATGCTCTTTTATCTATAATTTCCTGCATATTTCCCATCATCCATGGGGGAAACATGAAGGGCATTTGCCCTTGTGATGCCACTGCTGTGTGATCCATATTAAATGGAGGGAAAATTCAACAGGAGTTGCAATATTCTGGCTTGATTGGTCATAGAAATGACCTGGCCTAGAGTGAGGGCTCTCGTGTTCCGAGGACGGAACGGCCGAACAGTGGTCCAATAAGTCATAGGAATGACTGACCATAACAGGTTCCTTGCTTGCCATAGGAATTTGTTCTGAGGACAGAACATCCCGAATTTCCACAGCAGGCTCAGCTGCTTGATGACGTGAAATATTCTTCTGAGAGCTATCCCCCGGCAGAGCGACTTTCTTACTTCTAGAAGCCTCAGACTGTGACGCCGTCTTCGACTGTGTCACTGTCTTTCTTTCCTCGGGGGCTTTGGAAACTGTGGCAGATTTCTTGCTCTTTTGTTTATGCTTTTCTATCATGCGCGTGACCGCAGTTCGTTTGTCTTTTGACCAACCTTTACATATCCTACAAGGACTAGCATCAGAGCATGAACGATGCCGATAACTTTCTTCATGATCGTCAATGCAAGACATCTCTTTGTGGCACCGCTTGCATTCCTTGTAAGACTCGTCCGCCATGCTTACCAATTACGTACTACACGTGGTCGGTACTGGCCTAAGAGATACACGGTAAAATAAACAATAAACACAAACCAAACCGCGGCTAAAAAGCACAACAGCGATTAAAAACTTTGGAAATACAAGTTAAATAAATTATTTGAACGATATATGCAAAGTAGTAGGTAAATGCCTGCAAAAAATTTCACCGGAGTGAAACCAAAATGACTGCCCGAACATAAACTGAGGTAGGCCTACCCGGATGTTGGGTATTAGAGAGTGGGTTAAGGGAAGATAACTCGTTCTTAAAATAATTCGGGCATAGTAGTAGGAGTCCGTGACATATTGCAAATTGTTCGATGCAGGTAAGTATAGATACTGAAATAAACACTTTGGCGATTGACTTTTGAATTACACGTGATAAAGGGTTTATATTTGACAAAATATGCCATAAGTAATTGAATTTCATCCTCTAAGACAAAGAAAATGGGGAACATCAACTCTTTGAATTTGCTAATTAGTATTCTCTAATACTTGTTCCGTTTCTTTCACATGGTTACTTCCATTTTTGACTGTGTATTGCTTTAATATTATCTTTCACCAACTCTTGTTTTGCTGTTTTTCCTCTTTGTTTTTTTCATGTTTATAAGTTTAAGGTGTTGCAGATATTTCTCTTTATTCTGTCCGTCTTGCTACATCACTGTCTCTGGAAATATTTTTTATTGAAATTTTTGCTGAAGTTTAGTATTTGTGAATTATCTGAAAAATAATAAGAGATATTATAATAATATCCATAAATGAGATTATACTGGAATTACCTATCATATAAGTGAATAAACATGAGTTTTGTTTTTTTTTTGGGGGGGTGGGGGGGGTTGTAGAAAGTAATTGTAAATAATCTTAAATTTTTTTGTAAAATAAAATTTTGTTTGTTAGTTCATCCTCTAATAATGAATTTTAAGTAAACTAAATGCACCAAGCAAATAAATGTCAATGGTGTAACAACCAATGTCAATGGTGTAACACTTCTCTTTTTCCAGACTAATGATATCAAACAGTCAAACAAAAGATATTCTAATTATCTAAATGTTGTTAACTTATAAAATGAATCTATAACAATTTCTTAAAATGTTCTGAATATTAATGAAATCAAAGAAAAAGTAAAATTATAAAATAATGTCATGTGGTGTAACAATTTTTGTCACTGGTGTAACAATATATATTTGTTACACCACTGACTGTAACACCACTGATGTATGTGAAGTATAATTTAGCAGTAGGATCCAAAAGGTCAGAATGTACACAATTTCACATAGCCTTTATCAAATGTGATAAACATTCGCCATTTTTGTGAAGTTTTAATTTTTCTTTCAAAATAGAAAACCTGAAATAGTATGTTATCCCACTGACACATATTGCTTGTATTACTCTGATCATACTAACCTTTTCTGTGATATATTCTCTCACAATAATGACATCACTGATGCGTTCATCATTTGGAATCAGTAAGTGATGTCACTCTCATCAGGGGAATTCCAGCTTTAGTACAACATCATGAATATGATGTATTTTTAAACATTTTGCTTTGTTACACCTGTTGTGCCTGCATGAATATTTTATAGGCAATTTCTTTTTATAGAACTTAGAATGTTTGTTTACATTTTGTAGGGCGATTGTCCGTAGTTATGCTGATTAATTACGAGTTACTGAACTTTTAGAGTGTCCTTAGAATTATCAAATTGTATTTAAAGTCTTATGATATAGTCAAGAAAAAGAAATTCTCTTGTGAATTATTACCGTTATTTTATTGGATGCTTACTGGAAATGGCTTTTAAACACTAACTGTAAAACCAGAATGGTATGAAATACGGATCTCCGGATAAGTTGCTACATACGCCGACATTCCTGTACACTTTCTATACAGAATCTTATAAATTAGACGTCTGGATTAGATTAAAAATCATAGATTAATTAACGAGTTTTATAGATGTTGTATTAGTAAATAAAGTATTCAAGTACATTGATTAAAGAATAGTTTTTGAAGTTTTACGAATGACATATGACGTAGACGATGCACCATTGCGTCAAGGTATAAAAGAGAAGATTTTGAAAGTGCGTTTGTCAGAATTCCGCTTGCAGTTCCACCTTGTACAGCACCGTGCACCTGATCCGGGGTATTTATATTAGTAAGAATTTTAAAGTATTAAGATATTTTGAAATTACAAGTTTTAGCGCAGTAAGAACATTTATTCAGTTTGAAGTAATATTGAATATTTAGAAACTTAGATTTGTTTGATATTTAAATTCAGCGATATTTAGATTGTCGGTGCACTCGGGATTCTGACCCTGGGAGACACAGAAAATTGTCTCTCCCAGTAAAGTTATAGTTGTTATTTAAAGTTTGTAATTTGTTAGTAGTTTGAATTTGTATTTTATTAGATCTATATTTTAATTGGCAAGTAAGACTTAGTCAATTCTTTTAGTTCGGTGTGAAGTTGCACCGTTTGACAATATTACGACAGTGCACCGTACTTGAATTAATTATCTGTTGCAAGTATGTATCCGAGGTGTTGGAAAATTTGCATGGCATACTTTTTACTTTAATGAGATAAATTACTTTATTCTATAACCAGAAGTTATAGATTTAGGGTGGTGGACTTTATTCTATAACCAGAAGTTACATATGTATAGATTTAGGGTGGTGGACTTTAGTTGAGCATGTGCAGAATTATTGAGATAGTCGGGTGCGCTTGCACCTTACACCGAGTTACGTTGTGAATTTATGTTCCGAGTTTAGACAGTATCTTTCAGCAGAAACCTAGCACCTAGCACCGAGTAAAGTTATATAGCACCAGTCAAGCAAAGATGGAACTTAGACCCAATTAGCTTATATCAGTAGCACCTAGCACCTGGCACCTAACACCTGAACACCGGACACCTAGAACCAGTTTGCTCCAGTATCATCGGAAGCACCTAGCACCTTAAGCCGTTAGCACCTTTCACCGAGTCTAACGCGCATGTGACCATTTAACTATAATTTTATTATTATCCATTACACTGTGGATTGGGACATTATACCAAAATATTATTGTGTATTGTACTTTTCGTTTGATTAATTTAATAAATTGATTGTAATTGATCACACTTGTTCTATCTAATTTTACTTAAGCACAGGTACCTTCGAACCCATTATTGTAACGTGCCTCTAAGGTACCTTCTGATTGAATATACACATAAGACGAAAACGTAACAATTGGTGGCAGCGGTGGGATAGCATTAGATTCCATTGGATAGTTTTGGGATGGCATTAGATCCCAGTGGACAGCATTAGAGACTTATTGTAGTTTAGTTTCAGATTCTAGTGAATAGCAGAGAGAAATTTAGATAGAAGATAGAGAGACAAATTTAATGGAAATACGTAGATTTTAGAAAATGGATGCATAAATCATGAAAGTATAGAAATTGTTTCTAGGTGTTTAGAAAAAAAAAATAGGCATACAGTATAAAAAAAAATACATTGATGAATTGTTTATGATATCTAGGGTGCGTGTAGATCTATAGACACATAATGGCTGAAGACAATTCTAATACTGTAGTTCTAAATCTTCGTAATGACGAACATACGGACAGAAATGAAGATCTTGACTCAACAGTAGACACACAAGATGATGATTATAGATCGATTGATGAGAATGATAGAGATTTGAATGAAAAGTATGACTTGATGATAAATGCGTTTGAGCGACGAATGTCGCGCCTCGAGCAATTTATGACCGAGAAAATTTCAGATTTAGACAAAAGGTTAGAGAAAAGATCTCGGGGTTCAAGATCGACTAGCTCATTCTTACGACACAGATTGAATAGTTCTCCGATTAGAAGAGTTAATGTTGACGAGCATTCTGGCGAGCATAACGACGAAGATAGAAACGAAAATAGGCACTTTAGAAGAATCTCAGGTTTTTCACCTAGTCGTCCCCGTAGTGCAGATTATCAAAATCATGATAAACTCAAAATGAAACCTCAGTTATTTGACGGGTCGGGAGATTTAGAAGAGTATTTAGCGCATTTTGAAATTGTTGCCGAAATCAATGACTGGTCTTACAGCAAGAAAGCTTTATACTTAGCAGCGAGTTTGTCAGAAACAGCCCTTTCAGTTTTAAGCGAGTTAAGATCAGGGGAAAGAACAGATTTTAATACTCTAGTCGAAACTTTGAAAGACAGATTTGGGTCAGAGAATAAGGCCGAAGTTTTTAGATCTAGGCTTCAGACAAAAGTAAAAAGCAAAACTGAATCAATCGCTGAACTAGCACAGTCAGTAAGAAAACTAACTAGAAAAGCATATCCCGGTGCTTCAAGAATTTTACTAGATACGCTGTCGCTCGACCATTTCATTGACGCAATACCAGATTCTGACATTAAACTTAGACTTCGAGAAGCGAGACCGAAAGATTTGAATGCTGCCGAGTCTCTGGCAGTGAGATTAGAATCATATCGTGAGGCCGATCATCAGCGGGGTAGAACTATTCGTATCACCAACGTAAATTCAGACGCAAACCCTACAGATAGTGATTTGAATAGTATTAAGAAAGATCTTAGCTCCTTAGCGACTTCCGTAGAAATACTTCAAAAATCGGTTCATAGTTCAAACTGTAGTAGGCCTGTTGGCAGTTTCACTCGCCCACAAAGTTTTAGATCTAGACAAAATAATCAGAGAAGATACAGCAATACTAGTGTCTATCAAAATAGACCAACTCAGAATTTTTCAGATGCATGGCTCTTTGACAAAACCGAATGGTAACACAAGATTTTCGGGTAGCTACTTAACATCCAGTAGCAATAGATAAATTATATCAATATTAGGGAGATAATTATTTAATATGGTATCAAGTCAAGTAAATTTAAAGAAGATAGAGCTGGATCTTTTGAGAAGGATATCTGTGTGAATGCTTATGAAGTAGATTTTCTAGTTAGGGTTGAATTATCCCCTGGATCACGGATCCCGTAACATCTGATTAGATGTTAGTTTCGAGTTGTAGTTGTTTTATCACTCCAGTAGAGGTACACTGTACGGGTGCATCCCCCTCATGAGCCTGTGGCCTCCAATAATTTTACTGGAAATTTAGGTGTGAAACTCGAAATCATGGAATGTAGTGTAATCGCTCCAACAGAGGTACCATGTACGGGTGCATCCCCCTCATGAGCCTTGGGCCTCAAGTAATTTGTTGGAAATTTGGAAAGTGAAAGCTTTGGAAAGATTTATTGTCTCAGTCGAGGTACAATGTACGGGTGCATCCCCCTCATGAGCCTTTGGCCTCCAATAATTTACTGGGATTTGATACATTAGATTGGCAGAGTTCGCATATTGGGATGGGCCCCCCAAGAACTTTTGCGGTGTAGTTTTGCATGGCCATGCCTTTTATAGCAATGTGCTTGGATTAATGGATATGGTTTTCTTATAAACCTACCGGTAGTCGCTTTCATGAAGCGTTTTGCCTACTTGATGTAGATGTTAATTTTATATGAGGAGTTGAGTAGAGTACTTAGTGAGTGTGGAGAGCTGTATAGAAATCAAGTTCATGTAGTTATAGTGGAAATCCTTCTCAATCAGAATCAGTTCTATGGAAGCATTTAAACAATGTTTAAAAAGAATCAGTGACGAAGCAAATTGACACCTTGATACCTAAATAATAAACTTTAGCTCTTTGTTAGTTATCAACTTATGTGATACAGGTTTGCCTCACCCAGGTTGCAGATACCTCGAAGAATTGTTCATGAAATATCTTCTTTTTATTTATTCATTTTTCGAATGTCCGACCAGAGTAGATGATCACACCATTTTTAAATGTGGAATTTGGGAACAATACAAGAAGTATTAAAGTAAGTGTAAAAGAGTTATAGTTAGTAATAAGGAATAGTATCATAGAAGACTTTCTTTTTACGCACCAGTTTGGAGACCAAACCCAGAGTAGGTGGGGGCAGTGTTGTGCCTGCATGAATATTTTATAGGCAATTTCTTTTTATAGAACTTAGAATGTTTGTTTACATTTTGTAGGGCGATTGTCCGTAGTTATGCTGATTAATTACGAGTTACTGAACTTTTAGAGTGTCCTTAGAATTATCAAATTGTATTTAAAGTCTTATGATATAGTCAAGAAAAAGAAATTCTCTTGTGAATTATTACCGTTATTTTATTGGATGCTTACTGGAAATGGCTTTTAAACACTAACTGTAAAACCAGAATGGTATGAAATACGGATCTCCGGATAAGTTGCTACATACGCCGACATTCCTGTACACTTTCTATACAGAATCTTATAAATTAGACGTCTGGATTAGATTAAAAATCATAGATTAATTAACGAGTTTTATAGATGTTGTATTAGTAAATAAAGTATTCAAGTACATTGATTAAAGAATAGTTTTTGAAGTTTTACGAATGACATATGACGTAGACGATGCACCATTGCGTCAAGGTATAAAAGAGAAGATTTTGAAAGTGCGTTTGTCAGAATTCCGCTTGCAGTTCCACCTTGTACAGCACCGTGCACCTGATCCGGGGTATTTATATTAGTAAGAATTTTAAAGTATTAAGATATTTTGAAATTACAAGTTTTAGCGCAGTAAGAACATTTATTCAGTTTGAAGTAATATTGAATATTTAGAAACTTAGATTTGTTTGATATTTAAATTCAGCGATATTTAGATTGTCGGTGCACTCGGGATTCTGACCCTGGGAGACACAGAAAATTGTCTCTCCCAGTAAAGTTATAGTTGTTATTTAAAGTTTGTAATTTGTTAGTAGTTTGAATTTGTATTTTATTAGATCTATATTTTAATTGGCAAGTAAGACTTAGTCAATTCTTTTAGTTCGGTGTGAAGTTGCACCGTTTGACAATATTACGACAGTGCACCGTACTTGAATTAATTATCTGTTGCAAGTATGTATCCGAGGTGTTGGAAAATTTGCATGGCATACTTTTTACTTTAATGAGATAAATTACTTTATTCTATAACCAGAAGTTATAGATTTAGGGTGGTGGACTTTATTCTATAACCAGAAGTTACATATGTATAGATTTAGGGTGGTGGACTTTAGTTGAGCATGTGCAGAATTATTGAGATAGTCGGGTGCGCTTGCACCTTACACCGAGTTACGTTGTGAATTTATGTTCCGAGTTTAGACAGTATCTTTCAGCAGAAACCTAGCACCTAGCACCGAGTAAAGTTATATAGCACCAGTCAAGCAAAGATGGAACTTAGACCCAATTAGCTTATATCAGTAGCACCTAGCACCTGGCACCTAACACCTGAACACCGGACACCTAGAACCAGTTTGCTCCAGTATCATCGGAAGCACCTAGCACCTTAAGCCGTTAGCACCTTTCACCGAGTCTAACGCGCATGTGACCATTTAACTATAATTTTATTATTATCCATTACACTGTGGATTGGGACATTATACCAAAATATTATTGTGTATTGTACTTTTCGTTTGATTAATTTAATAAATTGATTGTAATTGATCACACTTGTTCTATCTAATTTTACTTAAGCACAGGTACCTTCGAACCCATTATTGTAACGTGCCTCTAAGGTACCTTCTGATTGAATATACACATAAGACGAAAACGTAACACACCAATGACAAAATTTTTTTATACGGACATATATCTCATTATTTTTATTTTTTGTAAAAGCTTTTTTGTTCTATAGCATACCAAAACTTAAAGTATGAATGTTGATTTGAGTAATCAATGCAATTTTTTAAATTAAAACATCAACCATTTTAAATTGTAGGTTAAAGACATTGACAGAATCTATTGACACATGAAGTCACTAATATCTTGTTACAAAAAATTTTTTTTTATTACTTTAAGAAATGAAATTGTAAATTTTTGTGTTCATAGAAAAAGTTAAGGTATTCGTAAACTCTATGAAACTTTTTATTTTTCCCCAAACATCATTTTTTCACCTTCAAATTGATACTGGCACGAAAGTATGCATATTTTGATAATGACCCATATAGGAGAAATTTCGTTTGGTATCCCATACCACCTTAATTTTCATCACTTGTCTTTTTCCATACTGAACAACAAACAGATTGTCATTTGTATCTGTACACAGTTCCTGGGGCTCACGCAGTCCACAGTCTATTTTACGGAGGAACTGTCCATCCTGGTCTATGATGTGGACACACTCATTGTAATAATCAGATGTAAGGATGTGACTCTGACTGTCTGTGGTGATTCCTCGTGGATAGAATGGTTTGTTCTTTGGAGTAAAAGTATATCCACTGTACCTGAATTTGATCAACAAAATATAGAATTTTTTTTAATTTATTCATATTTTTTTTTAAAGAATTTGGTAGAATTTCAAAAGAAATATAATTTTGTATACTGTATATCATGTATATAGAATTGTACAGACTTTGACACTACTAACTGATTTGTTATTAAAAATATTTGTACTTTATTATGGACAATTTTATATAATTCTGTATAAAGAGAAGACTATCTGAGTTGTAGAACATTTGTCTTATCCTTTTGACTTTGTCAGTAAAATATGTTCAATTCAAAGTGTACCTGAATCTCAGTTTCCCGGCCTGATTGACCACCACTACTGCTCTAGCTTCACTGTCAGACACACAGATATCCAGGTTTCTGTTTTCTGTTATGTATCTGTAATAAGGACCAGATGAATAGAGAGGTTTACGTTTATCATCAAACTGAATGGTTTGTTTCTCTGTGGAGCCAGAGTAACGGACAACTTTTGTTTGTTTTTCATCAACACTGAGCATGATAACCAGGAGGTCACCAGAGGAGGTACTACAGACACCTTGAGGTATCCATTTCTGTAATCTGATCACTTCCTCTATCTTCTCATTCTTCACAATGTTCACAGTTCTATCAGCAGCATAAACTAGATCTCCACTTTTTGTCACTGCTATGTCAGATGGTTTGTTCCCTGACTTGGTTGTGATTGACTTGAGTAGTGATCCCTGATTGATGCTGTAGAGTTTCATGGTGTTGTCATTTCCACTTGTCCAGATTTCTTCATCACTCAGACAGGCCACATTGTAAAGTTCTCCATACCCAGTATCTATGGTGGTGACAGTCTCTGGTTCATCAAGCAGCTGTTTGACTGGAGGAGAGGATCCAGCTTCTGGTGATTTCTGTGTTGTCTTCATGCTGTCGTCATGTTCATCTGATTTTAACGAAATTGTTTTCAAACTAAACAGTTGGTCTGCCTGTAATTTCTTTGGGATAAATTTAGGAATGGAAACTGTAATTTTTTTTGGAAGCTTTCTATACTCATCTAGGGTGGAAGACAGACTGAATAGACTTGAAATGTCTGTAGATTCCAGAACACTATCAACTGATTTGATTTCCTCCTCGATGTCAGACATTGTCTTGTTTATTTTATCCAGATGTTTCTGTAGAGTTTGTAACTGTGTGTTTTTCATCTCATCAACTTCAGCTTTAAGTTTCTTGACAAGTTTGTCAATTTCTCTGTGCCAGTGCTCTCCATGTTTTGTTATGGCTGTTGAGAGATCTCCATATCCCTTTTCTAACTGACTCATTCTGTTTTGTACATCAGAGGCATTGTCCTGGTAGTTTGGATATATCTTTTCTTTCAGTTCAGTTTGTTTTTTGACGAGATTATCCCTTTTCTTGTCTCGAATTTCCAGGACCCTTGCTAGTTTATGTCCAAGATGTTGATCCGAGGCAAGACAAATAGTACAGATAGGAACATCACACTGGGTACAGAACATCTCACACGTTTCTTCATCATGAGAGGTGCATCTGGGGTGAATAAGAGTTGACTTTTTGTCCTTAAAGTGAACAATTTTATGAGGTTTTGAGAGATCAGCAGAAAAGTGTTCTCCCACACAGGCCTTACACAGGTTAACAAGACATGTATCACAGTGCATCTGTACCACTTCGATCTCGCACAGGTCACATCGCATCACGTCCTGGGCACTGGTACGGGCGTCCATGACTCAATCTTCAAAGAAAAATGTCAAGTTTTCAATTTACTGTTAATAGCCATTCATGTTCATATTTTGAATGTCTTAGATAACATGGCTAAATAAATTCTGCACACAACCATATCATTCTTGAAGGAAAATCATGTACATGTATTTTTGAGGCCTAATTATATAACATGTATACAGCACATGGGGAGGGGGTGGGGGTTAGGGGGCTGCGCCGCCTCCCCCTTTTGTGTCCAAAATATACATACTATGTAATAAATCTAGTAAACCACTGCATAGTTGACTTCACTGATGGCCACATGTATGCATGTTTGTATTTTATTATTTGTCTTTATGTATGTAACATGGTTGTATGCCAATATGTTTGGTGAATCAATGAATAAAGAAATTATAATAATTTATTTTTTGTTTGCCGCTGTGAGCCCCTATCCCCGAGTATTCCCGACCCTGAAACTGCTATTTCAAGTTATATAAAAATCTTTAAAACAACAACAAAACCGATTTATTAATCCTTGACAAAAACTGAAAAAGCAACCCCCCCAACACACACAAACAACATCCACCTGGTTTATGCTGTGAGCTGCGGTGAAAATAAGATAAAATGGCAATATGACTCACTTACATTAATTATACAGAATACACTAGTATACAGATATGGAATTCAAATTCGTTCTACTTCTAAACCGAATACAAACCTTGATGTGCAGTAATGGCGGCCGCTGACGCTGCGCTGGTCTCTGCATTTGTACGGAAACATATTGGTGCCATTTTGACACTATTTAACTATCTCTACCCAGAGTATGTAGCGAAGCGGACGATTACTCTGGATAGAGATCGACTTTTTTAAGGAATATCCGATCCTCAGCCAGGTAGGATAGCTCCAAAAACTACCCATGATATTGAATTTGAAATGCATCAAAATGAAGCTTGAAAAATAAAAATAATAAATTTCACTCAACAGTTTTCATTTTGTTCATCTTTAGGCCCTATAAGATTTAATGTTTTGCGACGTCTTGGAAAAGTCTCATAAAAGTTGACATTTTTACTCTATTAGAGGGGAAAAAAATAATGCAG